TGAGACAGGGTCTGGCGCTGTCACCCAGGCTGGAGTGCAGTGGTGCGATCATAGCTCTCTGCAGCCTTGATCCCAAGCGATCCTCCTGCCTCAGCCTTCCGAGTAGCTGAGACCACAGGCACACGCCACCATGCCCGGCCAATTTTTACTTTTTATTTTGTAGAGACGGAGTCTTGCCGCATTGCCCAGGCTAGTCTGGAACTTCTGGGCTCAAGTGATCCTCCCACCTCAGCCTTCCAAAGGGCTGGGATCACAGGCGTGAGCCACTGCACCCAACTGCTTTCATGTATATTTGCCTGTGCTAGTACTGGTAATATGTGTTTTCCTAGAAAATTGTCCAGTAGTCAGGAGTTTGAAATTTTTTGATGTAAGATTATACCTAATATTTGCTTATACATTTAAATCTGTATATGGATTTTTTTTTCCTTGTTCTTCATGTCTATTAAACCTGTGTTTAGCTGGGCGTGGTGGCTCACACCTGTAATCCCAGCCCTTTGGGAAGCCGAGGTGGGAGGGTCACCTGAGCCCAGGAGTTTGAGACCAGCCTGGGCAACATGGCCAGATCCCGTTTCTGCAAAATATGCAAAAGTTAGCCAGTGTGGTGGTGCATACCTGTGGTCCCAGCTACTTGGGAGGCTGAGATGGGAGGATTACGTGAGCCCAGGAGGTTGAGGCTGTGGTGAGCCATGATCGTGCCACTACACTCCTGACCTCAAGTGATCCACCGGCCTTGGCCTCCTAAAGTAGTGGGATTGCAGGCATGAACTACCACGCCCGGCCTGAACTCATGTCTTTCTTCAGCTCTTGTAAATTTTCTTGTTATTTCTTCAAATACATGCTTCTCTTTGTTCTTTTTTTTTTTTTTTTGAGACAGTCTTGCTCTGTCACCCAGGCTGGAGTGCAGAGGTGGATCTCGGCTCACTTCAAGCTCCGCCTCCCAGGTTCACGCCATTCTCCTGCCTCAGCCTCCGGAGTAGCTGGGAGTACAGGTGCCCACCACCACGCCCGGCTAGTTTTTTGTATTTTTTAGTAGAGACGAGGTTTCACTATATGAGCCAGGATGGTCTTGATCTCCTGACCTCGTGATCTGCCTGCCTCGGCCTCCCAAAGTGGTGCGATTACAGGCACGAGCCACCGCACCCAGCCCTCTTTGTTCTTTCTGATCTTCCCTTCCAGAGCTACTACTAGATAGATGTTGGCCCTTGGTCTTCCTCTAGGTCCCTTGTTACCTGTTTCTGCCTGCTTTCCATCTCCTTTTCTTTTTGCAGTGTCTTCTGGGGAAGGTCACAACTTAGATTTGCAGCTCATTAGTTCGCTTTTTAGCTGTTTCCATTCTGTTTTTCACAGTCATACATTTCACTTCTAAGATACTGAATTTATTTATTTCATATATTCTTTTGTGTGTATGTGACAGGGTCTTGCTCTGTCACCCAGGTTGGAGTGCAGCGGCGCGATCATGGCTCACTGCAGTCTCAAACTCCTGTGCTCCAGCAATCCTCCTGCCTCAGCCTCCTGAGTAGCTGGGACCACAGGAGTGTCAGGGACCATGCCCGGCTAATTTTTGTATATTTTTGTAGATACCATGTTTCACCGTGTTGCCCAGGCTGGTCTAAACTCCTGGGGTCAAGCTATCCACCCGCCTCAGCCTCCCCAAGTGCTGGGATTACAGGTGTGAGCCACCACGCCTGACCAGAATTTTTTAGTGAGTGATACATTGTCTTATTTATTTGAGGGGATTAATTATGCTTTTAAAAATTGTCTCCATCTATTTGCTTTACTATTTTTTAAGGGGATGTGATTTATTGCCTGTTGAGTTGGTGCCTTTCTTCCATGATACTGGCCTTTTTTCCTTAAATAATTTGAAAGTCTTGGTATCTGGGGTTTTCCATTAGCTTGTTTCTGTTTCCTGAGAATTTGTCTGTTGGTGGGCTGGAGGTATGGATGAAGAATGGGAAACGAGTGTGTAAGAATTCATTTATCTGTCTGACTTTGAGAGTGACCCTGTTTCTCCTGGAGGTCACCAGCATTTTTTTTTTTTTCTCTTTTCTATCCCCCATGACTGAAAGGTCACCAGCTTTTGAGATCACCCAGCACCCACTCCTCTGACCATACCTACCGTAGGACAGGTGAATCCAATGCCTGATACATATATATATATTTTAAATATATATATATATATTTTTTTTTTTTTAAATAGAGACAGGGTCTCACTCTGTCACCCAGGCCAGTGTGCAGTGGCACTATCATATCTACGTATCTCTACATATCCATAGATACAGGTGTATCTATCTATCTATCTATATAGACATAGATATAAAGATGTATCTATAGATATCTATACCTATAATATATCTATATTTTGAGATGGAGTCTTGCTCTGTCACCCAGGTTAGAGTGCAGTGGTGCGATCTCGGCTCACTGCAATCTCTGCCTCCCGGGTTCAAGTGATTCTCCTATCTCAGCCTCCCGAGTAGCTGGGACTATAGGTTCATGCCATCAAGCCCAGCTATTTGTTTTTGCATTTTTAGTAGAGATGGGGTTTCACCATGTTGGGCAGGCTGGTCTCGAACCCCTGATCTCAGATGATCCGCCCACTTTGACCTCCCAAAGTGCTGTGATTACAGGCATGAGCCACCATGCCCGGCCGTATATATATAATTTTTGTAGAGACAGGATCTTGCTATGTTGCCCAGGCTAGTCTAGAATTGCTAGGCTTAAGCAATTCTCCCGCCGTGGCCTCCCAAAATGCTGGGATTATGGGTGTGAGCCACCGCACTCAGCCTCCAATGCCTGATTCCTGAAACCAGCAGGGACTAGGACCTGGGTCCTACCTGTCCAGCTCCTTCTATGGTAGTCCCCTAACCAATCACTCTGATGGTCACCTCTGGGTCCATCCCTGCATCTGTGCCCCCTTGTGGCTCCCAGCTTCAGCCCCAGTCCTCTTTTGTTTGTTTCTGGCTGTGATTTTCACCTTCGATGTGGGCCCATCTACTTTCTGTCTCTTAGGGACGCTTCCAAATGTCTGGTCCATTGCTTCTCTCTTTCCAATGCCCTTAAGGACTTATTTTTCTTATTTTATTTTAATATTATTTTTAGACAGGGTCTCACTCTGTCACCCAGGCTACAGTGCAGTGGCACGACCACAGCTTACTGTAGCCCCAACCTCTTGGGCTCAAGTGATCCTCCTGCCTTAGCCTCTTGAGTGGCTAGGACTACAGGCGTGCACCACCACAGGTAATTTTTAAACATTTCTGTAGAGATGGGGTCTCGCCATGTTACCCGGGCTGGTCTCAAACTCCTGGGCTCAAGTGATCCATCCTCCATAGCCCCAAAAGTGCTGGGATTATGGGCATGAGCCACCACCTAGCCCGGGACTTATTTTTCAATTTTCAATTTCTAGGCTATGGGGATGGGAGGAGGAGGTGGGAGCACCTTGACCTGATCCCGTATTGTTTGTGTACTTTCCTTCCTCCCTCCTTCTCTCCACTGCCCAGGCTCGCTGCCCCTTGCTTCTTGTACTCTGAAGGCATTTATTCCCTAGCCTGTCAGGTCACAGGTTTCTTCCTTTCTCCTGCCTCCTCTTCCTTCAGCCTTTTGACTCTCTTTCTTTCTTTCTCTCTCTCTGGCTCTTTCCCTCCCTCCCTCTCTCTCTCTCTTTATTTCTTTCTCTCTCTTTCCCTCCCTTCCTTCCTCCCTCCCCTTTCCCTCCCTCCCTCCCTCCCTCCCTCCCTTCCTTCCTTCCTTCCTTCCTTCCTTCCTTCCTTCCTTCTTTCCTTCTTTCCTTCCTTCCTTCCTCTCTCTCTTTCTTTCTCTCCTTCCTCCTCCCTCCCTTCCCCTTCCCTTTCCTTCCTTTCCCTCTCCTTCCTCCCTCCCTCTCTTTTCCTTCCTTCCTTCCTCCCTCCCTCTCTCCCTTCCTTCCTTTCTCTCTCTTTTCTTTCTTTCTTTCTTTCTTTCTTTCTTTTCTTTTCTTTCTTTCCTTTCCTTCCTTCCTCTTTCTTTCTTTCTTTTCTTTTCTTTCTTTCTTTCTTTCTTTCTTTCTTTCTTTCTTTCTTTCTTTCTTTCTTTCTTTCTTTCTTTCTCTCTCTCTCTCCTTCCTTCCTTCCTTCCTTCCTTCCTTCCTTCCTTCCTTCCTTCCTTCCTTCCTTCTTTCTTTCTTTCCTTCTTTCTTTCTTTCTTCAGGGTTTCACTTGGTTCCCGAGGCTGGAGTGCAGTGGTGCAATCATCGCCACTGTGATCCTGGGCTCAAGCCATCCCTCTGCCCCAGCCTCCTGAGTACCTGGGACTACATGTGTGCACCACCACGCCTGGGCTAATTTTTTAATTTTTATTTTGTAGAGGCAGGATCTCATTATGTGGCTCAGGCTGATCTTGAACTCCTGGGCTCAAGAGATCCTCCTGCCTCAGCCTCCCAAATTGCTGGGATTACAAGTGTGAGCCACTGTGCCTGGCCTGGCCACTTCTCATTGCAGGCTAGACCTGCCGTGGTCTCTGTCCACTCTGTGCCTGTTACACTGCTGCCTTCCCTGCTGGCTGTGTCCCCTCTCATGGCCCCCACACGTTGGTCGGTTGGTTGGTTGGCTAACTTATCTTGCAGTACTCAGCTGGTGGCCTCAGGGCCTGCTGGGCAAGGTGCCCTGTTCCCTTCCTGTAGCTCTTGTGCTCAGCACGTGATGGAACCTGTTACCTGCTGTTCCTATGGACTATGTCATCTCCTCTCCCCACCAGGGTGAGATTTCCAGGGGCAGGACTGAGTCTTTTTCACCAATTCCACACTGGGTGGTCAGTGACGGAAATGATGCCAAGGCTTGGTGGCCAAGGGTTGTAAGTGTTCTCTCTTCCCCTCAGACCGAGACAGAGGGTCTCAGTGGACCCCCCATCCAAGAGAGCAAGCCTCCACCCCAGGTTTGTGGGGACCCCTCCCTGTCCAGCACGACCCCCTGACCTGAAGTTGGCAGCTCTGGGAACAGGCACGGCTCATGTGACTGTTGCTCTCTCCACAGGCACTGGTGCCATCACACGGTGACACGGACGGTGTCCTGCCAGGTGCAGAATGGCTCGGAGACGGTGGTCCAGCGTGTGTACCAGAGCTGCCGGTGGCCGGGGCCCTGTGCCAACCTCGTGAGGTAAAGGCCGCCAGGCTAGGCCGCTCTGCCCTTCCCTCCCATTCCCTCGGACAAACCCAGTCCTAGGACGGCTCTGGGAGAGGCTGGGCTGTGCTCACAGACAAAGGCTGAGCGTGCATTTATGAAGCACCTTCTGTATATAAGGCATGGGTGTGTGTATATGGGGTATATATGTGTGTGTGCATAGATGTCACAGACGTGCTCCCACCGCAACAGAACCACACAACCCAGTGGGCGTTTGGCAGGCAGAAGACCACCGAGGTCGGGGAAGGCCTGGTAGGGCTGAAGAGGGAACCGGCCAGCTCTGTGGCTCCGGGCTGGAACGACGGGCTACAATGACCTTGGAAATCCAGCCTGCCTTTGGCCCCGACCCTCACAGGTCTCGCCTCTGTCAGCACCGCCTCACTCACCAGGCATGTCCCTCTCACTGGCCCTACTTATCACTGGACCTGCCCCTCACCAGGCCTGCCCCTCACCAGGCCTGCCTTTCACCAGCCCTGACCCTCACGAGCTCCACCGTTCACCAGCCCTGCTCCCACCAGCCACGCCCCTCACCAGCCCCGCCCCTTACTAGGCCCTCCCTCTCACCAGCCCCGCCCCTCACTAGGCCCTCCCTCTCACCAGCCCCGCCCATAGTCAGCCCTTCCCTCTCACCAGCCCTGACCAGACCACAGCCCTCAGGGGCTCTTCAGAATCCGCAGAGAGACATCTTGGAGTCAGACACTGGCATTCACGGTCTCCAAAGTTCCAACTCTCCTTCTTTTCCCTTCCTCCTCCTCTCCATGCCCTGCTTAGCTCCAGGGACTGGCTTCCCCAAACCACTCTTCCCACAGCCAGCCAGCCTGGGGCCTCTACCCCAAGCACGGCGCAGCGGCTGCCCTCAAACTCCAAATCCCTTCTCCTCCTTTCTGCCCTCCCTAACGGGACACTTTGCATGAGTCAGGGCTCTCCAGAGAAACAGAACTAATAGGACGGGTTGGGGGAGAGGGAGAGTGAGAGAGAGATTGAAATGGTAAGGAACTGGCTCGTATGATTATGGAGACTGGCGATTATTCCAAACCTGCAGGGTGGGCTGGCTGGCTGAGACCCAGGGAAGAGAGCTGACGTTGCAGCTTGAGGTGGGAGGCTGGCTGCTGGTCAAATGCCTTCTTCCTCCGGGGAAGTCCGTCTTTTTCTTAAAGCCTTCAACTGATTGGACAAGGCCCACCCACATTATAGAGGGCAACCTGCTTTACTCCAAGTCTACTGATTTAAATTAATCTTGGCCGGGTGTGGTGGTTCATGCTTGTAATCCCAGCACTTTGGGAGGATGAGGCAGGTGGATCACTTGAGGTTAGGACTTTGAGAGCAGCTTGGCCAACATGGCAAAACCCAGTCTCTACTAAAAATACAAAAATTAGCCAGGCGTGGTGGCGGGCGCCTGTAATGCCAGCTACTCAGGAGGCTGAGGCAGGAGAATCGCTTGAACCCAGGAGGTGGAGATTGCAGTGAGCCAAGATTGCACCACTGCACTCCAGCCTGGAAAAATAAAAAAATTGCTTAGGATGGTATCTGCCATGTTTCTCCACTGTTGCATAGTTATCTTTCCCTTTGTCATTTATTTGTACGTTGTGGGGAGACATTTTAAACCTGTACGAATATCCTGTTTCTCATCACACTATCATCTTGCTTGCAACAGTTAATGCTATGGTGTTTGTCAAATGGTGATTTCCTGTTTTCATTCTTTAACAGTAGAGATGCTTCACTTAGGACCCCTATTGCATACAAGTGTTTTGATACAGGTCATTCTGCAAGGGGAATGGCTAGGTAAACGGAATGTCATTCATTTTCAGTTTTATTAGAAAGAGCTGCTTTTGCCGGGTGCGGTGGCTCACGCCTGTAATCCCAGCACTTTGGGAGGCTGAGGTGGGCGGATCACCTGAGGTCGGGAGTTCAAGACTAGCCTGGCCAACATTGTGAAACCCAGTCTCTACTAAAAATACAAAAATTAGCCGGATGTGGTGGCGGGCACCTGTAATCTCAGGTACTTGGGAGGCTGAGGCAGGAGAATCGCTTGAACTGGGAGGCGGAGGTTGCAGTGAGCTGAGATAGCACCATTGCACTCCAGCCTGGGCAACAAGACCAAAACTCCGTCTCAAAAACAAAAACAAAAACAAAAACAAAACAACAACAACAAAAAAACCTGCTTTTAAATGCTGTACTAGAGAGATGGCCAATGGGTCCAAAATAATTAAAAAAAAAAAAAAAAAAGCTTCTTCCTTTTCCGCAGAGGGTACAGACACTCCCTATTTTCTGCCTTCCACACTTCCCCAGGAGCTAAATTCCAAGACCCTCCTGCCTTTCCGGGAGTTTCAGATGACTAGGTCATGGCCTCTTGATTTGGGAACAGCTTCTGAGAAGAAAAGTCTTTGAAGTCTGATCTGTCTGTGACACTGACAGGCTGGGCTTTGGCTTAGAGCTCTGTTGGAGAAGTGGCTGTCCTACTCTTTCTTTCTGTTTTTTGTTTGTTTGTTTGTTTGTTTGTTTTTTGGTTTTTTGAGACAGGACCTTGCTCTGTTGCCCAGGCTGGAGTGCAGTGGTGCAATCATGGCTCACTGCAGCCTCCAATTTCTGGGCTGAAGTGATCCTGCTATGCCAGCCTGAGTAGCTGGGACTACAGGCATGTGCCACCATGCCTCACTAATTAGTTTTTTTTGGTAGAGACAGGGGTCTCGCCATATTGCCCAGGCTGGTCTTGAACTCCTGGCTTCAAGGGATCCTCCTGCCTCAGCCTCCCAAAGAGCTGGGATTGCAGGTGTGAGCCACCACGCCTGGTCTCAACAAGTTAAAGCCGTTAAACTATCAAAGCACAATAACGCAGCCAGGCATGGTGGTTCATGCCTGCAATTGCAGCACTTTGGGAGGCTGAGGCAGGTGGATCACCTGAGGTCAGGAGTTTGAGACCAGCCTGGCTAACATTTGGAAACCCTGTCTTTACTGGAAATACAAATATTAGCCAGGCGTGGTGGTGGGCACCTGTAATTCCAGCTACTCGGGAGGCTGACGCAGGGAGAATTGCTTGAACCCGGGAGGCGGAGGTTGCGGTGAGCCGAGATCATGCCACTGCACTCCAGCTTGGGCGACAGAGTGAGACTCTGTCTCAAAAAAAAAAGAGAAGAAAGAAAGAAGGAAAGAAAGAGAGGAAGGAAGGAAGGAGGGAGGGAGGGAGGGAGGGAGGAAGGAAGGAAGGAAGGAAGGCAGGCAGGCAGGCAGGCAGGCACCTATAAGAAAAGCTGGACAAGCTAGCCCCTGAATCACTGACCTGGACTGAAAAATTTTCAAGTGATCATTAATGTTGCACAGTTGTCTCCTTTACCACTTAAGAAATTATCTGAACAATGTTTCAGAAGCACTGGGGGCTTCGATGTGGGTGTTGCCTGGCTTTCCAGGGAGTTCTTCTCACCTACTCCTTGGAGTTAGGAGGTGAAAACAGAACATTCAGTCAGGGCTAACATGCGTTTGTTGTGAGTCTCCCTTTTTCCTGCACAATGTAACTAGTGGGAACCTTGCTAATGAAAACAACTTGGCTGGTGGCAGTGGCTCACACCTGTAGTCCCAGCTACATGGGAGGCTGAGGCAGGAGGATTGCTTGAGGCCAGGGGTTCGAGACCAGCCTGGGCAACATGGAGTGAGACCTCCATCTTTACAAAATTTTTAAAAAACATTAGCCATGGCCTGGCATGGTGGCTCACTACTGTAATCTCAACACTTTGGGAGGCCGAGGTGGGCAGATCACCTGAGGTCGGGAGTTCGAGACCAGCCTGATCAACATGGAGAAACCCCGTCTCTACTAAAGACACAAAATTATCCTGGCAGGGTGGTGCATGCCTGTAATCCCAGCTACTTGGGAGGTTGAGGCAGTAGAATTGCTTGAACTGGGGAGGCGGAGGTTGCAGTGAGCCGAGATCACGCCACTGCACTCTAGCCTGGATAACAAGAGCGAAATTCCATCTCAAATAAATAAATAAATAAATAAATAAAACATTAGCCATGTGTTGTGGTGTGCATCTGTAGTCCCAGCTACTCGGGAGGCCTAGGTGGGAGGATCACTTGAGCCCAGGAGTTCGAAGCTATAGTCAGCTGTGATTGTGCTGCTGTACTCCAGCCTGGGTGACAGAGTGAGACCCTGTCTAAAAATAAATAAATAAATAAAATAATAAAACTTAATTTTCATTCTTTTAGAGAAATTTCATATTGCTGATCTTAATTATCATCATTACTGCTGTTATTATAATTTACTAGGGAATGGGGCAGGCACGGTGGCTCACACCTGTAATCTCAGCACTTTAGGAGGCCAAGGGGTGTGGATCACCTGAGGTCAGGAGATCGAGACCATCCTGGCCAACATGGTGAAACCCCGTCTCTACTAAAAATACAAAAAATTAGCTCGGCGTGGTGGCGCGTGCCTGTAATCCCAGCTACTCAGAAGGCTGAGGCAGGAGAATTACTTGAACCTGGGAAGTAGGGGCTGCAGTGAGCCAAGATCGTGCCACTGCACTCTAACCTGGGCAACAGAGAGAGAGACTCCACGTTAGCAAAGCAAAAAAATAAGGCCGGATGCAGTGGCTCACACCAGTAATCCCAGCACTTTGGGAGGCTGAGGCGGGTGGATCACCTGAGGTTGGGAGTTCGAGACCAGCACGGAGAAACCCCGTCTCTATTAAAAATACAAAAAAATTAACCGGGCGTGGTGGCACATGCCTGTAATCCCAGCTACTCGGGAGGCTGAAGCAGGAGAAGCGCTTGAACCCGGGAGGCGGAGGTGGCGTTGAGCCGAGATCACGCCATTGCACTCCAGCCTGGGTGACAGAGCAAGACTCTGTCTCAAAAATAAATAAATAAATAAATAAATAAATAAATAAAATCCCAAGTCAGAGCATGTCTTTCCCATGCTCCGAACCTTCTGGGAGCTCCCATCTCAGTAAAGCTGATACCCCTTTCCGTGACTGACTGAGGTCTAA